TATAATGAAGAGTCCTCCTCCCCAGCATCACTGTACACCCATCAATTTGTTTTTCTTCTTAACTGTATCATGATCCATTATTATCATTACTACATTTGATGTTCAAATTACCCCACACTGGGGCTTCTTCAAGCCAGCTCCTGTTTTTTATACATATATATACATATTTATACATTTATTTTGTGTGTGTGTGTGTGTGTATTTTTTCCTTATTGGTCCTTGACATTTCTTTGTACTTTCTGGAACAAGAAAATATCCTAGGCTTACTTTATTCTTTTCCTGCCAAAGACCTAACTTCAGCCTTACCCTAAGGTGCCCTGTTTTTTGTTTTTTTTTTGTAGGCAACAATATTTAAGATGGGGTAACTTTTCTGTGGGGCAATGGGAAAGCCAAGGGTTCCTTTTGCTTTTCCAGCTGCTTGAGAGGTACACAGGTGTGTTCTTGGGTAGTTTCTTATTGGAATTCAGCTTTGTCAAACTTGTTTATAGAATGTGCGGAGGAGGCCGGGCATGGTAGCTCACACCTGTAATCCCAGCACTTTGGGAGGCCAAGGTGGGCAGATCACCTGAGGTCAGGAGTTCAAGACCAGCCTGGCCAACATGGCGAAACCCCATCTCTATTAAAAATACAAAAATTAGCCACATGTGGTGGCATGCACCTGAAATCCAAGTTACTTGGGGGGATGAGGCAGAAGAATCGCTTGAACCTGGGAGGCAGAGGTTGCAGTGAGTCGAGATGGCACCACCACACTCCAGGGTGACACAGTAACACTCTTTATCTCAAAACAAAACAAACAAACAAAAGAATGTGTGGAGAATGATTTGCACTTAGGCTGTGGTAAGGGACAAGCATGCCATGGACTATGATCCTCCCTGACCCCTGAGCTGGGATATATCCTCCCCATCCTGAGTAATTTCTCTGTTGAGACACTTATTACTTAGGGCTATCTGCACTGCTATGAGAAGCAGGAAGGTTTTGCAGAGTGATGCATCCAGTGTTGAATCTCTGCTTTAGTACCTAACTAATGTTGTGATCTTGGTTACGTATTCATCTCTGAATTCCGTTATGACACCTGGCCCAGTGCCTTGCACACAAGAGCTTGTAGTAAGTGTGTGATACCTGAATAAAAGCTTCTTGGGGATATGGCTCTTAAATAAGAAATACTTGTATATATAATCAATTGACATGTTTTTGAGGGCAAGGGGATTGTGCCAATACCATTTGGGTTAGCTTTCAAATTTGGAAACGCTGAGAGAGAGACCTAGGAGCCAGGTACACTGAGATAAAAAATATCCCCTTTATTACCTATGATGACATTTAGAGAAGGTGGCATTGGTGTGGGTCTGTGTGATAAGAGAGTTGCAGGGATGTCACACAGTCAAGGTTGGGAAACATTATGTCACACTTAACCCTAGATACTCAGATTATTCACAGTTGCTCTTAGCAGTTTCGGGAAAGGTCTGGGAAGGGGAGATGGTGCTTTTACCTGCAATGAGGAGTCAGTACTAGTTCAGTTTTTGATGTTGTCTCATCCACTGGACCCCCATATTTTGAAAAATGCCTTCACAGGTCAGGCGCAGTGGCTCACGCCTGTAATCTTAACACTTAGAGAGGCCGAGACAGGCAGATCATTAGGGCAGGAGATTGAGACCACCCTGGCTAACACGGTGAAACCCCATCTCTATTAAAAAACAAAAAATTAGCTGGGCATGGTGGTGTGAACCTGTGGTCCCAGCTACTCGAGAGGCTGAGGCAGGAGAATTGCTTGAACCCAGGGGGTGGAGGTTGCCGTGAGCTGAGGTTGCGCCACTGCACTCCAGCCTGAGAGACAGAGCACAACTCCGTCTTAAAAAAAGGAAAAAAATGCCTTCACAATGTTCATACCTTGAACTTCCTTTACTTTGACTCTCATAACAGCCAGTGAGGCAGACGGGGAAGGTGCTACCACCTCCCACATGCCAGGGTGGGAAAAAGAGATGACAAGATCAGGGCTCCAGCCATCCCTTCACTCTGAAGTCTGTTTCTACACCAAGTCACCAGGAAGCTATCTACCTGGGCCTGGTAAGAATGCTGTCTTCCTTCCATCCCCCTGCCCTCATGGGAATTCTTCTGCTGCATTCCATTTAGTGAGGGTAAAAATAAGATGCCACAGCATCATTTCCTAAACTACTGCTGAAGACACTGTTCACTGTCATCATATTCACTATATACTACAGAAGGGCTACCCAACATATTCCTTCTGTAATTTAGAACTAGATATCTAATATTTCAATATTGGACACTGAGGGATTATGTAACACATCCAGCTCCATGCATCTGCTAAAATTAGTGCCCAATTAGAAACATATTACCTTAGGATTTAAACAAATGTGGAGAACTTATCATTCCTACTGAGTAGTGAAGAAGTGATGGCAACAGAGGTCTGGCTTTGCCCTCAACTACTTGGAAGTGATCTCTGGGCCCCTGGAATGTCCTGCCTGGTAAGAATGGGTTGGTTTTCTCGGGGGCTTTGGCTAACAGTTTAATAATGTGATTTATGATGGGGGCTTTGGGATGCGTCATAACAGGTCTGACGTCCAGAGGAACTTGACACTAAAGGTATTCGCTGAACTTCTAGCGAGACTGGAGATTAAAGGTGAACCACACAGGCAGTGTGTGGTCAAGCCCCCAGCAAAACCTCTGGATACCTAAGGCTCAAGGGAGCTTCCCCAGCTGGCAGCACTCTGCATGTATTGTCACACACTGTGGCTGGGGGGAGCAGTGCCGTCAGTCACTGCTCCAGGGAGGCGATGACTGGCAGCTCTGTGTCTAGATGCCTCCTGGTTTCTGCCCCACAGGTCTCTTCCTTTGGCTGTTTCTAATTTGTATCTTTCCACTGTAATAAAACTATGGTAGTAAGTACTTTCATGAGTTTGGCGAGTTCTAGTGAATTCCTGAGGTTGTGGGGACCCACAAATGTGTAGCCAGAAAGGGAACTGTGCCTTTTAATTGTAGTTGGCTAAACTCCTTTGCACCAACCTTATAATTGTGGCCTATTTCTCCCTGCTTGCTTTCTCTAAATACACACACACACACACACACACACACACACACAAATATGAATGTTTATATACATATTTATCTGTCTTTTATTATAGCACCTCTTATCCTTTTAGGAAGTATATGGTAATTAATTTTATATAAATCCTGGCATCTATCTGTAAAGTGGAGACACAATTCACTTTTGAGCTATTTTACAAATTAAAAAATATGGGCCAGGTGTAATGGCTCACACGTGCAATCCCAGCACTTTGGGAGGCCAAGGTGGGTGGATCACTTGAGGTGAGGAGTTTGAGATTACCCTGGCCAACATGGCAAAACCCCCTCTCTACTAAAAAAAAAATCAACCGGTCATGTGGTGCATGCCTGTAGTCTCAGCTACTCAGGAGCCTGAGGCAGGAGAACTGCTTGAACCAATGGGGCAGAGATTGCAGTGAGCCAAGATTGTGTCACTGCACTCCAGCCTAGGCAACAGAACGATACTCCATCTCAAAAAAGAAAAAAGTAAAATACAGTGAACGTGGGCTCCAAAGGGACATGTGGTCTTGGTCACTGGAAGGAGAGTGAGAATATGCCCTCAAGGTAGCCACCCAAAGGGAGGGGACACTGGAGAAGACAATTGGTGTGACTAGCTAGAGAGGGCTCCAAAATGTTTGCTTGGAGACTCCGGCTTTTCCTCTTTAAATTAAAATTCTTTCTTGCTGATTATAAAGAGAAAAATTCCCATAGTCCCATCATCCAGAAAGAACTACTATTTTATTTGGTACACTTCCTCCCAGTCTTTATAATATGCCTTTTTAAAACACAGCTGAGATACTGTGGCAGAAATATTTTGAATGGTCTCAGAATTATTCAACACAGACAGGGAATTATGTTGATTTCAGTTCTCATTGCCAACCCTGTTAAACTGAGCTCCAGGAGAACAGAGAATAAGGCACACTCTTCCTAGTAATCTTAAAGACTTTTTCACATAGAGTAATTGGGGATTTTCCTTTTTAATGGCTGTATGATATTCCATTCATTTCAAATACCACGATTCACTTAAGTTTTCTTTGATGGGAATGTTGTTTTTGTTTCCTTTTTTTTTGCTTTTATTTTTGAGACAGGGTCTCACTCTGTCACCCAGGCTGGAGTGCAGTAGCATGATCACAGCTCACTGCAGCCTCAACCTCCCGGGCTCAAGCAGTTCTCCCACCTCAGCTTCCAGAACACCTGGGACTACAGGTGCATACCACCACATGCAGCTAATTAGAAACTTTTTTTTTTTTTTTGTAGAGACAAGGTATTACTACATTGCCCAGGCTGGTCTCAAACTCCTGGGCCCAAGTGATCCTCCGGCCTCTGCCTCCCAAAGTCCTGGGATTACAAATGAGAGCACCACACCTGGTGTTTTTTGCTTAATTTTTAAAAATACTACAATTAATGTCTTTGTCCATATGGCTTTTCTATGTTTCGGATCATTCTTTTCAAATGAGTTGCTGGATGTGGAGTCACCAGATGAAAAGCTATCAGCTTTTCAAGGCTTCTGACAGACATTACCAATTTGCTTTCCAAAACTGTCCATAAAGTTTATAGCTCTGCCAAAAGCATTTGAGAGAGCAGGAGATAGGCCTGAAATGTAACTACTGTCAACTTGTGATGAAAATAATTATGAAAGACAGTTTATGGTTCTTTTATTTTTTTTTAAGAGATGGGGTCTTGCTGTGTTGCCGGGCTGGATTTGAGCTCCTGGGCTCAAGGGAGCCTCCCACCTCAGCCTCCCAAGTGGCTGGGTTACAAGCAGGCACCACTGTGCTGGCCTATGGTTTCTTCTTTGACCAAGTTCAGGGAAGGATTTAGCATACTGCTTAACAAGTAAAAAACAAAAACTGTGAGTTCTTGTTTGTTTACTTGTTTTTGCCAAGGGAACAGTATTTTATGGTTAACACAAAATCTGAAAAGCTGCTGTGGCTCCAACTTACCCACAAGCAATGGCACATCCCGACGGGGCATAAGCACATGCCATCACCCACGTGCAGGGCATAGTGACCGCGTGCTCCTGAAACACAGCACAGAGTGAACAACCAGCACTTCCACACAAAAATCTTTTTCTTTTTTTTGAGTCTTGCTCTGTTGCCCATTCTGGAGTACAGTGGCGCCATCTCAACTCACTCCAACATCCACTTCCCGGGTTCAAGCGATTCTCCTGCCTCAGCCTCCCGAGTAGCTGGGGTTATAGATGTGTGCCACCATGCCCAGCTAATTTTTGTATTTTTTCAGTAGAGACGGGGTTTTGCCCTGTTGGCCAGGCTGCTCTCAAACTCCTGACCTCAAGTGATCCACTCGCCTAGGCCTCCCAAAGTACTGGAATTATAGGAATGAGCCCACATGCCCGACCACAAAAATCTTAATGTTTAAATTAAATGAGAAATGCTATTTACCAAAATACATTAGCACTAGACTACTTGCCAGTAGCCGAAATGGGTGTCTGTGGGAAATTCAATTTAACCAATTGTTGTCTGCATATAGATGATCAAGGCCAGGCGGTTGAAAATATTGTAAGAAATATGACAAAACTAGCCCATGTGCTGGTGCAAGTTTGGCACAGGTTTGACCCCACATCTATGTTTGGGAAATGGTTCCCAGCTTTAGGAGGATTTAAAACCCTCATAATAGGTGTGGTGCTGGTAATAGGTGCATGCTTGTTACTTCTGTTTATCGCCTATATTCCTCCAAAATGATTAGATATTTAGTCACTACTACAGTTCACCAAAAGACTTCAGCTCGGGCATATTACATGAATCATTATCAATCGGTATCATTAAATGACCAGAATAGTCAGGCAGAGGGTGAGAACCCTCACTAATAAATAAGCAGAGTTCTCAAAAAGGGGAAATGAGGAGGGAGACCCCCTTCCCTCGGCCTGTGCTTGGAGAAAAGGAGGAAATGAAAGTTAAAAGTCAGCCAGGGGAGGCCGAGGCGGGTGGATCACGAGATCAAGAGATCGAGACCACCCTGGTCTACATGGTGAAACCCCGTCTCTACTAAAAATACAAAAAATTAGCTGGGCATGGTTGCGCATGCCTGTGATCCCAGCTACTTGGGAGGCTGAGGCAGGAGAATTGCCTGAACCCAGGAGGCGGAGGTTGCGGTGAGCCAAGATTGCGCCATTGCACTCCAGCCTGGGTAAGAAAAGCGAAACTCTGTCTCAAAAAAAAAAAAAGCCGGATGAGGTCAGTGGAAGAACTGGTTGGGCGCCGCTGACCAGGTCTGGAGATTAAACTAAAACCCCCTACTCCTAGCCACAATCCTATCTATAGATCACAGGCATGGTAGGGAGGAACCTTACTTCAGAAGGCATTGTTCTTGCTCAACTGTTCAAGACCCCTATCTAGCCACATCCCCCATGCTTGCTTAATCAATCACGACCCTCTCACATGTGCACCTCTTAGATCTCTTAGACGGTGAGCCTTTAAAAGGGCTGGGATTTTCTTTGTCAGGGAGCTCGGTTGTTGAGGCATCCAAGCTTGCTGCAGCTCCCAGCTGAATAAAATTATCACTTTCTTCCCAAAAAAAAAAAAAAATTTAGAAAATAAAATAATCCGATTCCCACTGAATTACATTACAGTTTCAAAGGGAAGTGGTGTAGGGTAAAGATAGTCTCAAGACTTCTGAGGGGACTCTCATAATCAACTTTATGTCACATATTCTAAAAGTTAAAAAGTTCAACTAGCAAAAGCAAAACAAAACCAAAAAACCATTCATGTTTTACTTCCTTCTTAATGTTATACTCCCTTTGTTCTTCTGCTTAACAGGGCCCCTTTTCTTTGAAAGGTATGCCCAAATCTCCTTTCAGATATAGACTTTTCCTTGTTTACTCTGATTTCCATTTTCAAAATATACCCTGGAATGACTTTTTATATATGTACTGTCAGTTCGTTTACTTGTGAGTCTGCAAGAGCCTGTGTCCACTATGGATCCTAAACCATCCCAGGGAAGGTATGAATGGGCAGGGGGAGGGGAGGGTAATCTTGGGTTGTGCTCATGGATAAATGAGAACTGGTAGATTGGAAACATTAAGAACTAAGCATGACATCCCTGGCTCCTGGATTCACAGAGGAAGCATGAGAATCACCGTGGCACAAGCGGCTGGCCTGCATGCGGCCGCACATCTTGCTAGTGGTGGAACCAGGACCAGGGTCCATGTCTCCTGTGGGAACAAAACCTCAGGCTCAGAAGTGTGGGAAACATGGCTTTGTTGTTTGCATATCTGCAGGCAGGAGGATGGGGGGACTCAGCCAGCCAGCAGCCAGGGATGGACGTGGTTAGTGTTTAATGCTTCCAAGGTACACCCAACTGCTGGTCTTCTTTTCAGTATAATTATACTTGTTTTTGTGGGGAAACACAGGCCCCAATACCGTTTGCCCAAATCCTATTGTCAGTTACAGTCTTGTAGGCTTTCAGAGGCCAAGAACAATCTACTGCTCTCCAGAGAACAAGCTGAGGTAGCCACTTTTGGCAAAGAGTATCCCAGGCCCCTTTCCTCACAAGTAATTCCTGCCACAGGCCACAAGTGGCACCCCTGGCTCTCCAGAATCAGTCTATGCCATAAGGTGTAAAAAGAAGCAACTACACCCCTGCATAGTCTAGAAGATGCTGGGAAGTACTGGGAGAGACGGAGGCTTCCAGGGAGCTAGGCGCTGATAGCAAAGCCCTGTGCAAATGGTTAACTTGCCACTTTTATTATTCCCCAGGGGACTGACCATTAAGGACTCGACTCTACAAAATGGTTCTGGCCCCTCACTTGACCAGGTCATGTACCAGCTGCTTCCCACGACACTGACTAAACACATTCAACAATGCAGAATATGGTTGCTGTTCGCTTTGTGACAGAGACAGGTCTCATGTTTTTACATAGCATAAAGGAAGACTTACTTTCTAAATAAATATAGGAATTCATATTTATTTATTTATTTGTTTGTTTTTCTTTTTAATTAATTAATTAATTATTTGGGCAGAGTCTCCTTCTGTCATCCAGGCTGGAGTGCAGTGGTGGGATCTCGGCTCACCACAACCTCCACCTCCCGGGTTCAAGCAATTCTCCTGCCTCAGCCTCCTGAGTAGCTGGTACTACAGGTGCAGGCCACCATGCCCAGCTAATTTGTTTGTATATTTTTTAGTAGAGACAGGGTTTCACCATGTTGGTCGGGCTGGTCTCGAATGCCTGACCTTGTGATCCACCTGTCTTGGCCTCCCAAAGTGCTGGGATTACAGGCATGAGCCCCTGTGCCCAGCCAGGAATTCATATTTAATACACATCTCTTTATTGTAAATGCCAATGCAATGCAGGTGTGCCAGCATACCTGCACATAGGTTTTGGTCTTCATCTCTCGTTAAGAGCCAAAACTTAAATCTAAGTTGAGCTGTGCATGCCCAGCCCAGACTTGCAAAGGATCAGCCTGCATCACTGGGCAGCTCTGCTCAATCCCATTGCAGCCTCATCTTTCCCACCCTCCATATGTTCATTCCCACAGGGCTCTGGAGTCTGGTCAAACGGAGCGGAGAGAGAATAGAGAAATTTGGTGCCTCTTATCACTCAGAAGACAAATAATACATGCAGTTGCACATGTGGGTGCAAGTTTTTCATGCTCTGCCCATTCCCATGTTAGTACTGGCAGGCCCTATGATGGTTCTAAGGCTCCAATTGGGGCGAGAGGGGAATAAATGCTGCAATGGGCTGGCTGAGCTGTTCAAACATGGATGGGCCTTCTTGGAGTGTCCATCCCTAGAGGCAACTGCTTGCAGGGATACATGGAGAGAAATCAGGACAGGCCCAGGCAGCTGGACCAGATTCTGGGATTCTGAAGTGCCTAATGTGGCTGTGAACAATGCCTCACCTTGTTCGTGGTGAAGGAATCCCACACGATCACCTTCCCATCCTGGAGGGAGAAGAGCAAACAGTTCAGATTACTGCTGAGAATTCCTCATAAAAGCTGTGTCCAGCAGCACAGTGTGAAATGGAAAGCCAGAATGAGGATCTGGATAATCAAGGCCCCTAACCTATCCAAGAAGTAAAGTGGAGTGAGTGTGAGAGGGGCTAGACATTCCAGCGGAGCCAAAGGATCAGTTCTCAACCTTACATTCCTTGGAAAGTCACAAATACAGACAACAACACACAGACACTTCTTTCATACCATTTATAAACTACACACAAATTGTTAGTACACTATCATCACCCGCCATACCCTAAATGTCAACAAATTATACAGGGGAAAGATAAAGCTGACATTATCTTCAGGTACCTGACAGGTAAATAATAAATCTTCTTCTTCCACAACACCTCCACCACTTTGTCCTCTCTCCCATTTGCTTTGCAGTCCATGGTCCCTACGGCACCATCTAGGAACCCTCCTCCGCATTCTCTGTCCATTTCTCCACCAGGGACAGCTGCAGAGGGGGCTGTGATCAGTCTAATTCCTCAGCTGCTCACAGATGTCACAGTCCCAGCTCTGACATTTCACAGCTATGCTGAGAACAACGTGAGATATGCACCTATCATGGTGGGAACCCCTGTGGACAGCTGTTCAGTAAGCAAACAGCACTCACTGCCAGGGTGAATGCAGAGCCAGCCCTGCCAGAGATAATGCTGTCCCTTTCACTGTAACTCGGTTTTGGCCTCCCATGGGTGTGGGTTGTGACTACAGTATCATCTATTCATAATGAAAACCCATAAGAGGTAAATCTACGTGAACCCTGGTCCCTGCAAAGCAGCCCTCTGTCCAGACTGTGGCAGGCAGACAGTGGAAAACGACAGGATCTTCAGGGATGGGAAACCTACAGCATCTATGGCAGGCTTGATTTTTTAATCACTCAAGCCATTTGGGGCCAAATTTTGGTGAATGAAGTGGCAGAGATAAGGATGACACCACTTAAGGGCAGAAGCAAGGTCGGATCTGAAGTGACACAGCCGCTTGCTTTGCATGATCTGATGGAAGATTTCTGTGTTAATACTGTGCATGGTATTAACACAGCAGGGTCAAAGTTGGTGGTTCAGGGGGCTTTTGAGATTCCAAAACACATTGATTCTTCTGGTCTAATTTCTGCCTAAACGGCCACATAAAATGTGTAGGATGAATTCAGTAAGCCTTTAGCGCAGAAACTGGAGCAGGGCCATATGCCTGTACCATGGGGTCCTCCACACCTGGAGCCCCTGATGGCTGGGGACTGGTTCCATGCATTGCCCACATCAGCAACCATGTTAGGGGCCTCTTCCACCTCACTGCCTGCCTGTCCCCCAATGTGTACTCTGGACTGGGGCCTATATACCCAAAGAGAATGTGCCTCTACCCCCCCAAGCCCTAATCCAATATGGCTGGGGTGATTACTCCCCTGCATCTAAGCGGGAAGGCCACTGATGGGCCCAAGTCTGTTCCAGAGACTTCCTGCTTTCCAGCCTCTTCCCCACACCCACATTCACCTCTTCCTGCTCTGGCACAGAACACAACGGACAGGGCATCTCCAGACCTGCTGAAGGTCCTCCCTCCCAACAGCAGTATGTGAGTGATAGAAAACCCAACACAGCCTTACCTTGTCAGGATTTAAGAAGTCAAAAGGCTAGAGAGCAACATGGATATCCTGATAAGTACACCTTGTAAGAATAAGCTCTTAAAAAGAAAAAGACTAGAAAGAAGTGCTCTAAAATAATAATAATGGGCAGGGCAAGGTGGCTCACATCTATGATCCCAGTGCTTTGAGAGGTTGAGGCAGGGAGGTCAAAGCTGAAGTGAGCTGCACTCCAGCCCGGGTGACAGAGCGAGATTTTGTCTTGAGAAAACGAAAAAGAGAAAGAAAAAAAAATGGTTGTGACAGGATGGTGGGAGTAAAAGCTTTTTATCTGTTTTATTGTCCAGTGTTTCTGTAACATACCAGAGTACATAAGTGATAAATTAATTTTTATCTTAATAAAAAAAGTAAGTGCAATGTGACATACTAGATTTGTAGGTAATCCAGGAGAGTAATAACATTTGTCCTATCAAACGCAGAACTGACACAGACGTTTCAGCTTGTGGATTATCTAGAGTATATCCAGTTTTACAAGGATAATTAAAAAAACCAAACCAACCTGCTTTTGGAAAAACTGAGGGGTTGGGAGAAACATGTTGATCATAAAAATATGATTTATAGAATATTTCTCTCTCTCTTTTTTTTTTTTTTTTTTGAGATGGAGTCTCACTCTGTTGCCCAGGCTGGAGTGCAGTAGCTCGATTTCAGCTAACCTCTGCCTCCCAGGTTCAAGCAATTCTCCTGCCTCAGATTCGTAAGTAGCTGGGATTATAGGCGCTTGCTACCATGCCTGGCTAATTTTTATATTTTTAGTAGAGATGGGGTTCACCATGTTGGCCAGGCTGATCTTGAACTCCTAACCTCAGGTGATCCATCTGCCTCAGCCTCCCAAAGTGCTGGTATTACAGGCATGAGCCACCACGCCCAGCCGAATCTCTTTTTTTTGAGACACGGTCTCATTGTGTTACCAAGACTGGAGGGCAGTGGCATAATCTCAGGTCACTGCAGCCTTGACCTCCCACATCCAAATGATGCTCCCACCTCAGCCTCCCAAGTAGCTGGCACTACAGGCACACACCACCATGCCCAGCTAATATTTTATTTCTATTTTTGTAGAGACAAGGTCTCACCATATTGCCCAGGATGGTCTCGAACTCCTGGACTCAAGTGATCCTACTACCTTGGCCTCCCAAAGTTCTGGGGTTATAGGCATGAACCACCATAATAAGCCTACAGAATATCTCATGTGACTTCAGCTTATAGCTTTATGTTCAATACACATTACATAAAGAGATGTCAAAAGTACTAAGTTGTGAGATCCAGACTCCAAGTGAGTCCCAAATCATTCCAGCCTCTTGACAGTCACACTTTTCTATATAGTCTCTTTCCTCTTTATATCAGGGTTGTTCTATGTGACCAACAGAATATATCAAAAGCAATGGATTGACACCTCCAAGGCCAGTCATGAAATATGGCATGGCTCTGCTTCTGCCCCCTGTTGTGGATCACTTGCTCTGGAAGAGGCCAGGTACCATGTTGTGAGCAAGTCCAGTGGTGAGGAACTGAGGCCTCCAGTCAAGAGCCATGTGAACAGGCACCCTGGAAGTCAGTCTCCACCTTAGTCCAGCTGTCGGACAACCGTGGCCCCAACCAGCATCTTCACACAACCTCACAAACCACCTGAGCCCAAACAAGCTAATGGAGGCACTCCCAGATGCCTGACTCTCAGAAACCATGCAAGACAATTCAACTGCTAAATTTTGATTTTTTTGGAATAATAGATAATTAATATATAAGACATAAAATAAACTGTGTAAAGGATATGATTTTAAAAATTGCATTTTACAAGATATGTATCGTGGGTTTTTTTTTTTTTTTTTTTTTTTGAGACAGAATTTCACTCTTGTTGCTCAGGCTAGAATGCAACGGGGTGATCTCGGCTCACCGCAACCTCTGCCTCTGGGTTCAAGCAATTCTTCTGCCTCAGCCTCTCAAGTAGCTGGGCATCATAGGCATGTGTCACCATGCCTGGCTAATTTTGTATTATTACTAGAGACAGAGTTTCTTCATGTTGCTCAGGCTGGTCTTGAATTCCCGACCTCAGGTGATCTGCCCACCTCGGCCTTCCAAAGTGCTGGGATTATAGGCGTGAGTCTGTGCCAGGCCCAAGATGTGTATCTGAACATTGTTCTTTAAGACATAAGAATTGCTAAACTCCCTCACTCATAGGTGGGTGATAAAAAATGAGAACACATGGACACAGAGAGAAGAGTACTAAACACTGGGGTCTATTGGGGGGAAATGGGGAGGGCCAGTGGGAGGGGGAGGTGGGGAGGGATAGCCTGGGGAGAAATGCCAAATGTGGGTGAAGGGGAGAAAGGAAGCAAAACACACTGCCACGTGTGTACCTATGCAACTGTCTTGCATGTTCTGCACATGTACCCCCAAACCTAAAATGCAATAAAAAATTAAAAAAAAAAAAAGAATTGCTAAACTCCTTAAAGTGAAAGAAAGTCATTGATGGAATCTTATGCCCTCAATTTGAGGAAAAAAAAAAAAAACTATTTTAAAATGGTTTTATTTACAAATAAGACTTAGAAATTATTTCCAAAGGAAGAAATTATTTTCAATGGTTCATCATATTAAATATAGTCTACACTGTTTCAACTATTATGAACTTCAAATCTACCCAAATTAGTGAAGTTCTACAGTATGTAAGAGAGTTCTTTATGCTAAGTCACATCCTTTGGAGAATGAGCAAAGTCACAAAGATCAGAAAAGGGCTTTTGGAAAGGGACAGCTCTCCTCCCCCTTAGCTATAAAATCCAAAACCGGCTCACCTGTTATGTAGCAGGTGCGACATACCTGTGACGAGCTCACAATCCTCCTCTTATCCTTGCACCAGTCCATGCACAGGACTTTGTTCCCATGGCCTTTGAGGGTCCTTCTGGTCTTCATGACAAACTGTCCCAGGGCCTCCACCCGCTCTGCCACCTGGTGCACTGGAAGGACAAGGCCATAGTCAGTTCCCTTGCTAAGGACCAGGTTCTGGGCTTTCGGCTGGCTCTGCAGAGGGAGGCAGCCCCATGGGTTTCCTCCACAACAAGACCCAGTGTGATTCTCTGATTCATCACAATTACATCCTACTAGTACTCCTTCTTATAAGATCAGTAGAGGGTAGAGGCAACACTGCCATTCTCTCTTTCTGTTTAAGACTGTATATTTTTCAAAGCACTTCTATCTATGCATAGTGAGGGATTAACAAGAAGACCCAATATTCGTAAAGCACTACATAAAATTCTTCCATTTAAGGCCCCAGCTGAGAGAGGAGGGCAGGACAGGCAACAGAGTGAGACTGGTATGCCCATCTAGCAGGTGAGGAAACTGAGACTCACAGAGGTTATTTGGCTAAGACAAGTTCATAAAACCGACAGTGAACCAGGCTGGGGCTTCTGGTTCTCCTGCCTACCACTCTCTCATCACAAGGAAAACTGACTTTACAAAACTGTCCCATCAGGACTATAAGGTATACCCCGAGGCTTCAGAGCTGACTGTGTCTAGCTGCCCCTCTGTGCCTAGCACTGACCTGGACATGGCAGGTGCCTCATACACCTGCTGCAGGAAAGAATGAACCAGCAAACTGCCAAGCACGTGTCTCCAAACTGCACACCTGTGAGTTTACTGAAAAACTTAGTGTCCATGGAGATCAATGCAACATCCTAAAAGTCTGAACACATGACCCACTCATAGCACCACCCATACCAGAAAGGAGACCCAAAGGTTAGTCTCTCAGGGCTGGGACTACAGCTTCTTTCCAGAGGCCAAGGGAGAGGTTTCTAGGGGCTTGAAGAGAGGCTGAGCCTGATGAGTCTGAGAGGGACAAGTTTGTAGGAAGTGGCTGGAAAGCTACAAAGTGGCTGGGTAGCTGGTCCAGGCCCTTCATCATGCTGGGGAGGACGCTGAGGTCTGCAGGGATCCCATGGCCAGCCCCACTTTTCTCTCTTGTTGATGGCTGTGGAGTTGAGAAGGAGAAGCCAGAGCTCTGAACTCTCCATCTACATCTTCTTCCTTACCTCAGCTGGCCTTTCTCCAGGCAGGTGGGGAGAAGGGAAAAGGGCATTGTCAGGGGGAACAGCCTAGGCAAAGAGACAGAGGAACAGGGTGGGAGGCAAGGCAGCTGCCCCTCATGTCTTCCCAGGGAGCTGCCGAGGCTTGATGGGGCCGTGGCCCATTTCCCTTCAACAGGAAGCCTGCGCTGAGAGGGGCCGACTCTGCGGTCCGGGTCCTATGACAGCAGCGTCCCTTCCTGGGAAATCTTTCCTCCCATCCTTCCCTCCCCAAAACGCCTCAGTGTATATGTCCTAAAAACAAAGAACTCTTAAATAACCAGAGCGTAATAATCAAAATTAGAATATTAATTAATGCAGAAACAACACTAATCTACACTTATTGAGATACTGCCTATTGTCCAAATAATAACCTTCACAGCAAAAGAAAATCATGGTCATAGGTTGCATTCAGCTGCCATGTTTTTTAGCCTCCAGTTATTTGGTTCCTTCTTGTAATATGGTCTTACACTTCCTTGAGATTAGTTTGGGTAAATCTCGTTTGGCAGGGACACAGAGATGTGGTGCTGAGCTAATGTCACTGCATCCCGCCTGAGCACATTAGTCCCACTGCTGGTGGGGTCACCAGGGACCATCTGGTTAAGGTGGCACCTGCCAGGTCTCTCCACTGGAGAGTTACCATTTTATCTTTTGCAATGAAAAGTGTCTTGCTGGGGAGGTACTCTGAGACTACATAAACATTGTATTACCCCTCAAACCTCAACAGGCTTATTTTAATACCACTAATAATTCTGGCCTGGACGAGTTATTGTGATGACGGCTGGCAAGTGGTGATGTTTCTCAGTCCATCCTTCCCTCTGCATTCATTAGTTGACTTTCTAAGGAGTTTTGCCTCCTCTCCCAGTTATTTATTTATTCCTTCATTTACATTAGCAGGGACTCATGGGTTCTTACTTTATTCAAGAGGTTGTCATGCATTACTAATACTATTGACTTTGATCTTCCAACTGTCCCAGATGACGGAGAGCTCCATCAAGCAGGCTCCGGTGACCTTCTGACATGTACCCTCACAGCATGAGCACTTCTCAATCCAAGCTTCCATTGTTCTTTCCCTGTCCTTACCTTAAAATCAGCCACTTCTCCAAGAAGTTTTAGTTCCTTTTAGTTGCCTCATTTCTTTGTGCTAAAAGAGCAAAGTTGAGCATGGGCTAAAAATCTTTGTGAATACCCAAACTGTAAAAATACTTGCTAAACTAGGCCAGGTGCAGTGGCTCATGCATGTAATCCCAGCACTTCAGGAGGCCACAGTGGGTGGATTGCTGGAGCTCAGAAGTCTGAGACCAGCCTGGGCAACATGGTAAAAACCTTGTCTCTACCAAAAATACAAAAACTTGGCTAGGTGTGGTGGCATGTGTCTATGATCCCAGCTACTTGGGTGGCCAAGGTGGGAGAACTGCTTAAGCCTGGGGGCAGAGGATGCAGTGAGCCGAGATCGCACCACTGCACTCCAGCCTGGGTGACAGAGCCAGACCCTGTATCAAAACAACAACAACAACAAAAAAAAAACCTTGCTAAACTATAAAGTGCCACACGTATGTTCATTATTATGCCATTGCTTCTGCTAAAACACTGCATTATTTAATGCCACAAACAGCACATTCATCTTTTACAGATAGATTCTTTACAAAACACATCAAATGAGGTTTAAAAAAAGATTGAATTTTTCGAATTCTTATAGGCCTTTTATATAAGGTCCCGCCGACTCAGAGTTGTGAGCATATTTTATTCAGCATTTTACTTTGAAATTTTACATCAATATTATCGCTGCTTCCCCTAATTCAGCACTAGGATAGCCATAGCTTTTTGATAATTTCCCTTTTAATAAAAAAGATGATTCACTCAACCAAAATAGGGCCTTCCTTACATAATGAGAATATAAATAGATCCCAATTATTATTTTTTCTCACCACATTTTTTCTTCCCACATGTAGATAACTGCCAACCCACTCCATCCTGTTTTTATCTGCCAAATTTTGCATCTATTAAATTAAAAAAAATTTTTTTAAATTAAATATTAGGAAATTTAAAAAAAAGACCTGGAAACGAGCTGAGTATGTGGTGGGTATTACTTGTGGGAGCCTGGTTCAGGGCAGATGTGGCTTTTCCTTTGCCTTCTGGAGGACCATTCCTCCAGGATTTAACATTTTTTTTCTTAATGTTGAATATAATCATCTGGCTTCTATAATAAGAATTTGCTAGAATATAATGGCAACCTGTTAAGAAATTCCAGTAGCTTCAGGAAGACAGGAGTGCTGTCTTGTCTGATCTTCTTTAGAGGCAAAACAGGAGCAAAGCAGTTAAGAATTCAGGCCCTGGGCTGGGCGCAGTGGCTCACGCCTGTAATTCCAGCACTTTGGGAGGCTGAGGTGGGCAGATCACGAGGTCAAGAGATCGAGACCATCCTGGCCAACATGGTGAAACCCTGTCTCTACTAAAAATAAAAAAATTAGCTGGGCATGGTGGCATGCGTCTGTGGTCCCAGCTACTGTGGGAGGCTGAGGTAGAAGAATCACTTGAGCCCAGGAGGCAGAGGTTGCAGTGAGTCAAGATTGTGCCACTCACTCCAGCCTCGTGACAGAGCAAGACTCCGTCTCAAAAAAAAAAATTCAGGCCCTGGCCTTGGGGACTTGGGTCAAAGCCTGGCTCCGCCACACACCAGCTCCACAACCTCAGCCACATCATGTACTTTCTCACCACCTCTCTTCCCTTGTGGGGTTGTGGGGACAACTATTCAAGCCTGGCACGAAGAGAACACTTAATAAGGGTTGGCTATGACATTCTCCAGCCTGGCATACAGTGAGCACCCAGTAATATTTACTGAAGAAATAAATGGAATGCTTAGTTATTAAATTTCAATCAACTGTAGCAATCCTAAGCAGCAGTTTTTGGTGGTCAACAAAACGATCAAGCCTCTTTCCCTTCTTTTTCTGTACCTCTCCCTATCCCTAATCCATCATCCCTACTTCAGCAGTCAAGCAACTCACCAATTTCACAGGGCACGCTCACTAGAACTGGGAGTGGGAGACACATAAATGGTTTCAGACCTATTTTCTGACCCAAGGAGCTCACCAGCCTTTTTATTAAAAAGTTCCTTTTTTCCCCTTTCCTGGCCTTATCCTGTCACCTGAGCAACTTGGATTTGGTCTTTAGCATGCACAAACCCTTATACCATTTAGATACAGCTCAAACTCTTTCCTAGTTCAGTCCAGATCAGGCTGTGCCAGCCTCTGGGACCACCCAGGTATCTGAGAATTAGTCCCTGCCCTCACTACACTTCAGAGTCGGGGGAAGAGATGGAGCTGTAAGGATGATTTCAATACTACATGGGACTTGCTAAGCTAGATGCGTGGACATAGGAAGCTTCGGTCCCAGAGGATGGGGCACTGCACTGGGCTTGTTGGGGTGGGATCTGAGCTCAGTCTAAAGGATAAGAAGATGAGTTAGATGAGAGGGGGTCCTAGGTGGGTACTCTAAGCTGAGAAAATGGCAAAAGCAGAGGCCCAACAATAATACCGATGTAAAATTGTTTACATCAATATTTTTTGGTGGTGGAATAAACAACTTGATTGCAGAGTAAGGGGTAGGTGCGGGCAAGTAAATGACACTGTAAACCCACGACAGAGCTCATTTATTCCACTGTGACAGCAGCCGGCTGATCAGAGGCATGGCACGGTCGGATCTGCCTTCTCATGACTATCTGTGGCTGCAGTGTTGGAGAACAGTGTTGACGAAGACAACACCAGAGGAAGGAAACCAGGGAAGAGACTCCTCTTCTTTGGCAGGCCCCTCTCCAGCAGACATACCATCTGCTGCACCACCCTTCTCTGTGGTCCCTCCAAGGTCAGACTGGAACAGCCTAGAAACTGCTCCCTGTC